CTCATCACTTTGCTCGTCATCACTGAGCTTGGCGACAAGGGCATTGATCTTCTTCTTGGTTGGGCAGTTGCGAACCAAGTGATTTCCCCCACAAAGGAAGCAAGAAATTGGGGACCCAGATGTACTGGGCTTGTAATGGTGCTGAGGGCCTTGCTCTCCTTGTGGCTTCTTCCCATAGTCTTGTCTTGCTGGCTTGTTGAAGCTGGAGTTGTCGTACAGAGGGCGTGAGGGACTTGCTCCCCCACTCAAATTAGGGGAACGTGGGCTTTCTGGCTTAGGGGCTTCTTCATCTGACAAGCTGGTCTCATTGAGTTGCTCCGCCATTGCCATTGCCGTGGCGAGGTCCTGTACATTGCGGCGTTGGAGTTCTAGTTCGGCCCATGGCTTCAGTCCATCCATGAAGTTGAACAGTAGATCCTTGTCGAACATGTCCATAATCTCCAAGGTAAGGGCTGAAAACTCTTTAACATAATCGTGGAGTGAGTCCTCATGCTTGAGTGCTTTCAACTTCTTCCGCGCCAGGTACTCCACGTTCTCTGGGTAGAATTGCCACTTTAGTTCTTGCTTGAAACCAGCCCATGTCTCGATGGTGCACGTACCCCGTTCAATGTCTTGGCATCGCCTRCGCCACCATAGCATAGCAATGTCAGACAAATACATAATCACTGTACGAATTTGCGTTAGGTCATCATCAATGCCAATGGCATGGAAATATTGTTCCATTTGCCACAAGAAGTTGTCAAGTTCTCTAGCATCTCAGGAGCTGGCATAAGGTGTGGGCTCCCGAATCTTCACACGAGCAGGGGCCAGTGTTGTGGAGGGGCTTGGAGTGCTGGCCACTARTCTCTTGAGGAGCGTCATGTCTCCTCTTAGATCATCCAATTGAGTCTGGAGGTCGGAGGGAGAGGCCATGGCTACTTTCATGGCCACTCATTCAGCTCTCATCTCATCCACCTGGTCTTGGATGTCAGATCAAGATGAGCTCCCTTCTTGTCGGGATTTTGTTCCAAGGACTTCCTTGAGGGTTCTATTCAGGACATCTTGGACCTCGTTCATAATGCCATTTAAACGGGCTTCTAGCTCCACCATGGAGCTCTTAATTGTTTCCACATTCAAGTGGATTTCTTCTACTCGATCACTTATCTCCCCAATAGTCACTTCACAGCGAAGGATGCGTGTGTCGAAGGCAGCAAGCGTGTCAACTGACTTGTCAGGCTTGCTTGTCTTGGATGTGCAACCCCTTGGGGCCTTCTCTGCAGTGGCTTCATCGCCTAGAGACTCATCAGTCTCCCTCGCATGGGCAAGGCCATGCCTAATCTCGTCGGTGAGTTCCTTGTTGTGCTTCATTG